AGTAAATGATTCTGATGGTAGCAGAATTCTTAGTTTTCTTTAATGATGAATCCCTACTTCAGTTTATTTCTCTTAGTCTTGGTTCTTTAGCAAGGAAAGCATTGCAGGAACTTCCTGATATAAGCCTTCAGTAAAGCTTAAGTGAAGTTTTAATTCTGCAGAGCTGGAAAGGATGTGACTCTCGCAGAACTAACTGAGGAACAGAAGGCAGCCAATAGTCGTGGTCGTGGTGGGGGTCAAGGAACCAGAGGCCGAGGCAGAGGCCGAGGCAGAGGAGGTGGCCGAGGAGGCGGCAGGACTTTGTCAGAGGGAGAAGACAATAAAGGGCAGAAGAACATTCAAGTAAGTGTTTGAAGTCCTTTCTCTCTTTATAATTCTCTTTTGTTGTCGATGTGTTTTAATTGTGTTAAGCCTTTGCTTTGCTTTTTATCCATTTGTGTCTTTCTTATTTCTTGCAAATCCTTTTCTGTCCTATACAAGTAATATTCTTGAAATCTGCTACACAGCTTTTTGCTGTTATCCCATATTGCTTACTTTGAATTTGAAATGCATGGGTTAAATGTGAGTTATGGGTTCATTTAGAATTAAGAAGTTGATTTCATCTGTATAAGGGAGTCTAGTTCTTGTTTTCTATTAATTTCAAGTATTTGGAACAAAATTTATTATCCTTTTCTTTACACTTCAAAATTTATACTGATAGCTAGGTACAGACATTTAGTGTACAGGTACATACACATGCACAAGTGCATGCACGTGGACATGTACATTCACACGCGCATGCACATACACATGGACATGTACATTCACACACGCGTATGCACATGCACATGCACATGGACATTTACATTCACACACGCACATGCACTCACACGCACATGCACTCACACGCACATGCACTCACACGCACATGCACTCACACGCACATGCACTCACACGCACATGCACTCACACGCACATGCACTCACACGCACATGCACTCACACACACGTGCACCACACACACCGTGCACACACACACGTGCACACACACACAGGTGCACACACACACACGTGCACACACACCACACGTGCACACACACACACGTGCACACACACACACACGTGCACACAACACGTGCACACACACGTGCACACACACGTGCACACACACACGTGCACACACACACACACGTGCACACACACACGTGCACACACACACAACGTGCACACACACACGTGCACACACACACAGTGCACACACACACGTGCACACACACACACGTGCGCACACACCACACAGTGCGTGCACACACACACACACGTGCACACACACACACACACGTGCACACACACACACACACGTGCACACACACACACAACACGTGCACACACACACACACACGTGCACACACACACACACACGTGCACACACACACGTGCACACACACACACGTGACACACCACACACACGTGCACACACAACACACGTGCACACACACACACACACGTGCACACACACACACACACACACGTGCACACACACACACAACACACGTGCACACACACACACACACGTGCACACACACACACACACACACGTGCACACACACACACACACACACACACGTGCACACACACACGTGCACACACACACACACACACGTGCACACACACACACACACACGTGCACACACCACACCACACACGTGCACACACACACACACACGTGCACACACGTGCACACACGCACACGTGCACACACAACATGCACACACACATGCACACACGTGCATACACATACACACACGTGCACACACACACACGCGTATACACACACTGCGTATACACACACACATGCACACACATGCACACACTGCATACACATACACACAGTGCACACACAATGCACACACACGTGCATACACATACACACACGTGCACACACACGTGCATACACATACACACACGTGCACACACACGTGCACACACGTGCATACACACGTGCACACACGTGCACACACACGTGCATACACACGTGCAACACACGTCACACACACGTGCACACACACGTGCACACACGTGCACACACACGTGCACACACAGTGACACGTGCACACACACGTGCATACACACGTGCACACACACGTGCACACACACGTGCACACACACGTGCACACACACGTGCACACACACGTGCACATACACACGTGCACACACACGTGCATACACATACACACAGCGTGATACACATCACACACACGTGCATACACATACACACACACACGTGCATACACATACACACACATGCACACAAGTGCACACACACATGTATTGTACCAGTTTTTATGATAAAGAATTGATTTGTAGACTGCATGAGTTTCAAGATTGATGTATTTTAGGAAGCAGATTTTAGGATACATTTAAATATTCACATAACGGAGAAGCTTTTACCCACTTTATATATTCCACTCTAACACCAGGACTACATTACCATAGAATGGAAGAAGAGTTTATGCAAGCCTGAATGTGAACCCAATGACTTGCATGGATTGTGTGTGGCTTTTAAACATTTTCTGTGAAATGGAGCTGTAGGAAAGACAGCAGGTCATACTATTATTAATTTGACTCCCTTGAATGCAAAACAATTAATGGAGACCTGTCTTCTGTCAGTAGATGCTATTGCATGATTCTTTTTATGTATAATAATTTTTTCTGCCTTCAGGATGGATCTGTGAGTGTTGCTTTCGTGCATTGCAAGTGTTCTTCTGTCATTTGATTACTATAAGGGAGCAACAATTAGGAAAGTATTTGAGTGCATTGCAGTTTTCCTTGTACTCTTTGATACTGCTGCTCCCAGTTATGTGATTATGTATTTGTACAATGATGATTCATGTAGATAGGCTTCTCTTTCAGTATCTGTGTTTGGAACCTCTTTGCTTTAATTAATGAATATGAAAGTGCTGATCATATATTTGTAAAGCTATAGTTAAATATCTTTCCAGAAATATAGAAGTAATGACATGATCAATTTGCTGCTGCCAGATGTTCCGGTCTGTAGATTTAAACATTAGTTTTACTTTTTTTATTCAAATTTTAGTAGGAGTCATATTTGAAAGTAAACAAAGTTTACAGTAGATAACCACTCCTAACTCTCCACCCAAAGGTTACAATCAATGTCAGCAAGAAACCGAATAGTAAAGAGAACGGTGGAAGCAACAAATGAGCAGGACCGCCTCGGCTCAGCTGACCTGGACAATGAGATCCAGGGTGGCAAGGGTCTCAAGACTAGAAAGCCTCGGAATCCATTCACATATGCAGTGTTCCTTGGTAAAGTTCCTCCAGCCTGTAGGTGAGTTGCATGTTAGTCTGTGGTTGGTGTTGACCTGTTTAGTTAGGATTGGATAGTTAAAGTTGGAAAGATATCTGTGCGAATCTTGTTGCTTTAAAGTGCTCCATTTACAGATTTAGATTTTTCATAAATGGAAGAAGTTGTATGTGTAATGCAGATTTTAAAAAAATTTTGATTATGGGACAGTGAAAACGTGTTTAATCATTGAGTGAAAATCAGTTTAGAGCAAGTTTTTGTATGTAAACCAAACAGTGAAGGGAACAGCAGGAAAAAAGTCGTACAATGTTTTCCTGCTCTTACATTTTGTTTATAGATTGTTCAATCCCCCACATCTGTTTATGACAAACATCAATCTGTATGTGTTTTAATCACTTTTAGCTCTTTCCTATATGCATGTGTTTGTGTTGTTTTTAGCTCTAGTAAGCCAAACCCAGTCATTCTTTTTATAATACTTTTCATGTTCTATGAATAAGTATTTATTATTACTATCTATACAGCTCTAGCAGATTTTAATGTCTCAGAAAATGTAAGCTACAAATCACAAACTGTTAGTTCTGTGGGTATTATTCCATAATTCATATCTCTTGTGGATCTGTAGAGTGCGTGAGCTCAAGGAAGCCCTGCAAGGTCGAGATGTCAGGCCCATTGACATCACTTGGCGTGGGAGGAATGGATTTGCCTTCTTGCGCTTCACAGGCCCAGTAGAAGAATGTGATGATGTCCTTGCAAAGCTGGATGGCCTCACACTACAAGAGCAGCCTTTGCTGATCCATGCCAAGGATAAGATGGTGATGAAGGACAACGAAAATGCAGGAACGAAGGTAATGATGAAGTGAAGACAACTTAACGTGTATTATGAATATATATGTAGCAAATTAACACCCTGCTGAGGGGCACAGCCATAACTGTCATGGAAAACCTATCCTTCATGATGGGAATGTATATATGATTATGACTCGCTCTAGAGAATGAGTGGAAGTGGTTCTGTACATAGTGAATGTCCTACTAATAAGGCTGGTTGCCATCATTTACCAGAATAATTGTCACAGAGAAAATTGTGGCACCCAAAGGATGCTCATATGTTGTTTGTGCATGCTTAATTGAGGCTACAACAAATTCTTAACCCTTAGCATTCTGGATGATAAATGATTGACATCATGGCCAATGCGTTATTCATGTTGTGGCTGATTTGTGGCTTAGGTGGCAGGTTATTCCCATCATGATAACCCTTGGATCCGGTGACAACACTCTGTGCCTCCCTTTGAAAAGTTATTTATGAACTATTATTTAGCTTTATCGTCATTTCCCAATGTCCATATTTGTCCTTTGATTTGCTTTATGCCAATAGTAATTACTTATTTTCCTTGCACACTCTATATCATATCTCTATGTTGTTAATAGCTCAGTGCAAGAAAAAAAAAAGGAACATTTGGTTATTTGTCATGTCATTTTGTTTTTGTAATTTCCAATTGTATGTAATACAACCTGTGCCACCGGTAACAGCGGCCACAAATACAGTGCACAGCATGGAAATTCCTCCGTGGAGCCAGCACTCTTCCAGTCACTGCTTAAACACGTTACATTCCACATTTGTTTATTGATGGGAATAATGCTAAAGCCCCCTTCTAAGTGTCAAATGATGTTAAATCACACTCCATGAGGTTTGTGCACTCATGGCGAGTCTTTTCTGCACCCTGGTGTTCGCTCTTGATGCTTTGTTCGCATCACCTGGTTGCGGTCTTTTTGCCTGGTTGATGCATCAAGATGAATAATGATTTTGAAATTGAGATCGTACATCGCCTATGAGATACAAAAATGTGTGTTTTTCCAACATGTTACAGTGACAGTTGAGATTTTTTTAAATGATAAGAGTAAAGTGATAAATGTATCCTATTTTCAGGAAATCATTGAGGGGAAGGTCAGAACCGTAAACGTCAACAGCCTAAGAAGCCACGATTGTGTACACCTATGGCATTTTCCTTGGCAAGGTTCCTTCAACTTGCAGGTAAAGAACATAATTTTCTCACCTTTCTAATTTTCTCACCTTTCTTACAGTAGATATTTGAAGTTTATATATTTTCATTTATTTATTCATTTATTTTTCATTGTGTCAATATCTTTCAACCAAACTTTCTCATCTGTACATGTATGAATGTGTGTGTGTGTACGTGTATGTATGAATGTGTGTGCACGTACGTACCTGTATGTATGAATGTGTGTGCACGTACGTGAATGTGTGTGCACGTACGTTATGTGAATGTGTGTGCACGTACGTGTATGTATGAATGTGTGCACGTACGTGTATGTATGAATGTGTGTGCACGTACCTGTATGATGAATGCACGTACGTTTATATGAATGTGTGTGCATGTACGTGTATGTATGAATGTGGAGGGTCAACATGTTGCTATTGTTGTAAGTTTCAGTTTAGGGGATCCCCATCATTCGTCAATATGAACCAGAAAAATACAAAGAAAAACAGTTTGGTGAATAGTATATATATCCCATAGGATTAGATTATTAAAAGAGGTGTAATGTGGGTTGTGATTGTAATATCCAGTGGTTGGCTTAAGCATATGGTTTAGATGTATCCTTAAGTAATACTGTAGTGGATGGGGTGCATCTACCACTTGAAGTGGTCATTGTCTCTTTAGGGAGTAATTGTGTAAGTGAAAATGGAGATGGAGAGGGGTATAGATTGGTGCTGTAGGTTAAGTGAAGTTTAATGAGGGAGCGGGAGAGGCTCCCCAGTTGACGAAGGACACGGGCAGTCCTGTGTTGCTGATGCTTGCTGAGGTGTGACTTGAGAGAAGCTTAAATGATTGGGAGCTGTGTTAGTGAACTGAGAACAAGGGGAGCCTATGGTCGAGTGAGAGAACTGTGGGGTGTCTGTCAGCCAGTCAGGTCTCCGTACAATCGGCTCCCATGATCAACTTCTACCCCATCCATTGCAGTGGTGTAGACCAGTGGTTCTCAGCTGGTGGTTCATGTACTACTCGTGGTCCACGGTGATTATTTGGGTGTCCACAGGATGTACATCAACCTACATATGCGACAGTGGGTTTTCATGTTTTTTGCAGATTGTGTGGAAACAGAGAAATATACTTGCAGTGGAGAGTGATGTGCATTGTTCATTGTCAGTTACAGCTCGTAATATTAAAAAGTCAGGTTTGTCCTTGAACTCAAGATGCTGAATTGGGCTTGTTGGCTGCTCTGTGGTACACCTACTGTATCACTCTCCAGATGAGAGGTTGAAAGAGATGAACACCCTAACGAAAGGCAAGGGAGATTAGTGCATTGGATAGCACTGAGGTACCTTGCCTTAAGGTGCCTGAGAGGTTAATGTCATGGGGTCATTGATCTCCCTTGGAATGGGGAGTTGCGAGATGATATAAGATGTGGCATCTTGATGCCAAATTCTGAATGTGCCCTTATGAATTAGGGAAAATTCCTGCATTTTGATGTAAACAGGAATGTTGAACCACTGATAACCTGTAAGTTTAAAATCAGTTAGGTTATGTGTAACATAACATTATCATATTAAAGCCTAATGTACTGACATATTCTTATGAGGTCAATTACTCGTAAGTGTAATAAAAATGGTAGCCATAATGACATCACTTCCTTTATATGAAGTCTTGAAGTCATTTCTGTATTTTATGCCAATTCTAGCCATGTAGACATGAAAATGGCATCTGTGATAATATAACATCCTTTTTATCACATGTGGGCACTTGTCTGTTCTCCGGAAGCAAAGCAAAGTAAAGAAGCATCTCACACACGAGATGTGTTGGCATTGGGAATTGATCGTACGAGATGACTGTGATGCTGGGTGCATCTATCCTCACCATACCATACACCATACACCTATATGCTGGGTGACAAATACTCATGCTATAGTGGTTGAGCCTGTTGATTATTGTGCATACAACTCTGCTGGTGATCTTTGAAGAGATGTATCCTTTCATAGTAGGCATAAGAGTTATTCCAAGATTCTTTTATAGAAAAGCCATATATATCACGGCCGAAATTACAGATGTGGGGTAAGCATATGGTTTCCATGCTTCTGAATTTGTGTTTGAGCAGCCAACTCCATCTGTGTCTAGTCTTTTGCAAGGTTTGGCAAGGGTAAAACGTATTACTATAAGCTGATTAATATTTACCTCATCTTTGTTTGTCATACAGCCATTCTGATTTCATATCTGAATAGAACAATCTTTCTACTATATGTGGAAAGCCAATTTTTAGAAGTGGACAGTAATTTTTTTTTTTTTTTTTCAAATATTTTACAAAGACGACTATTTCAACAGCCTAAAAAAAGAATTTTGAAAATGTCACTTTTATAAGACACACATGATGAAAATATTTCAAATCCTTATTGCTGCATGTAATAAATCTACTATTTAGCTAAAAGGAGCCATAATGCATTAAAATTGGACTGAAAATGCTTGGGCTATGCATAAATATGTGAAGGACCCAAACATCGCAAACTTTTTTTTTTTTTTTACATTTACATAATTCATGTATAAAATACTTGTATATGATATAATTATCTATTATTTTTCCTTTATTGTTGCTCTAATGGGGTTTTACAACGTATAATATTAGTAAAAAAAATTATAATTCTCCAGTTGGACAGCTGTCACACAGTTCCCATTCTCTATGCCTCAGGAGCCTTTTCTACAGGATGACATAGCAAATTTTCACTAAAACTCCCATGAAATGACGATATATAAGTACAGGGCGGTTGTAAAAATGTGTATATAAGTATGGAAGGATATATAGATAATTTCCATGTATCCCATGACCTTTTGTTCATTTATAATGTTACTTCCATTTATTTTTGTTTGTGGATTGTTTGTTTGTTTGTTTTTTGATTGTTTGTGTTCTCTGATATTTCTAAAAGTTTTGAATACATTTTAATGAGATTTTTACTAAAGTGTTGTTTAACCCAACTTAGATGCCGATTGCACTTTGGTGGTGATGTGGACTATGGTTCAATCTAATTTTTTTTTTTTTTTTTTTCTCTCTCTCTCTCTCTCTCTCTCTCTCTCTCTCTCTCTCTCTCTCTCTCTCTCTCTCTCTCTCTCTCTCTCTCTTCTCTTCTCTCTCTCTCTCTCTCTAACTCAAAATTTTATGAACAGATAATTACATTTTTACCTGAAGTGTGTCTTAGCCTAACTTATATTCCATAAAATTTTGGTGGTAGTCTGGATCATTTGGAAATCTTACCCCCCATTTAGGTTTGCATTTTCAAAATATTTTGCTCATAGATCAAACTGACAATATATGATGAAAACACAGAATATAGAATACTCCATATGAGCGGCATATCATGTTTATTTATTTTTTATTATTAACATTATTATTATTATTATTATTATTATAATTTTTTATATATTTTTTAATTTTTAATGCTTGCCAAAAAATGAGGGTTGGTCTCATTGTGCGTGAAATTTATTAAGCTTTCAGAAAATAATTTAATTTTTATGTTATATCTAATCGTTACATCAGTTACCGATTTTCTAAGGTATGGTGAAAAAAAATTTTTGGTCACCTGAAAAACAGTGGTCGGGCCTTGAAATTTTGAGAGAGAATCGGAGGCCCTGAAACTCCTTGGAAATGCATTTAACTCAATTTTGGCAAGACGGCTGGGGGGGGGGGGAGTCCCTTCAAGTTGAGGAAGAGGGGAATTTTTATAAGCATTTGTTGATGTTGCACACATGTTTACTTAGCACCTTTCTTTTGTTACAATGTCAACATTAACTTTAATCTGAATTTGTTTCCTTGCAGAGTGCGTGAGCTCAAGGATGCTCTCCAGAACCGAAATGTTCAGCCAATGGACATCACATGGCGAGGCAGAAGCGGATTTGCCTTTCTGCGTTTCACTGGCCCTGTTGAAGAGTGTGATGACATTCTTACAAAACTGGAAGGCCTCACCCTCCAAGAGCAGCCTGTTCTGGTGGAGAAGGCAAAGGACAAGGGTGATGAGCAGCACCTCTCTGAGCCGCAGCAGCAGGAGCACCAGGAGTTGGAGGAAAAGCAGGAGGTACCAAATGTAGCAGTTGTAGAGGGAGAAGCTAGGTGAAGCCCCTGTGTTTCTTAAAGAATGGGGTAGGGCATTAACGTTCTTATTTTCTCTTGCTCATTTGTTTTGAAATATGTTCTCTGTTGATTTGGATTTTTTTCTGTCTTTCCTAATTAATGCTTCTCTACATCTTGGACTAGTTAGTCTATTGCATTTCATGAAGAATAATATATGCCATAGTATCACATACTATAAGGACCATTATCATGGAGTTTTATGTTTACTTACTTCTATGCTGAGTATCAGCTGGCACGACACCAGTGAGTAAGAAAAATATTAATTAGTCAGCAAGAGTAACATGTGGTATGTAGCTCATCCTTAGTCACTATAGTCTTAACTATAAGAGAAAATAAACAATTTTTATTTTGTCTTTTTGATAAAAGTGATTTCTATTTATAGGAAGTAGTACATATTTATGAATTTTATTATTTTTTAGGCTAATTATCTAAGCCAAGAATTAGTTTAGTGATTTTTGTAAATCTTCATAGACAGGTAACTTGATCAGGAAACACTGGCAGTTCTGAGCTTAACATTTCATCAAATTTTGTTGCTTTTCTTCAACAGAGGTTGAAGATGTAAAGTGTCATGAAGAAAATTATAATTTATATTTGTTTATTTTTGTATGTGATCACCTGACCATATACTCTTATATTCTCTATCATTGCTTTAAGGGCAATGAAATTATCCAGATAAGAGATGCAGATATATGATTATGTGGATTACGAAAAACTTGGATCAGTGTTAGAAATGGAAAGATTGCAGTTCATGTCTTTCACACACAGGATATGAACCAATTCCTTTAAGGAATTTGTTGAGAACTAGTCATGTTTGTGCATTTTATTGTTCAAGATTACACCAGTTTCATGTATTCAAGTGATTTAATTGGAATCGCTTAAAAAGAACATGTAAGAACAGGGTTTTGATCTATTTCGGTGTTGCATATGCTCTCTTTTGAAGTCAAATAGCCAGTAAATGTGTTTCTTTGCAAGGTCTTTCCATTATACAACTGATGTCATTGATGCAGGTTAATTCTTTTTTTTTGTTGTTGTTGTTGTTTTGAAAGTGACAAACAATATGGCTGGATAATCTTTGGTCGTGTAAGGTGGTCACACTGTGTTGAGAATTTTGTTAGCTTAAAGATTAAATTTTATATATCAAGCATTGTTGTTAATTGATTAGAGGTGATACAATAGAGTGCCTGAGTAAACTACTCTCGTAACAGTGGTATGCAAATACCATTTTGTCTACAGATGATTGTAGCTTTTATAACATAAGGAATTTGGAATTTCATTTATTTTACATCAACCAATGTTGTGAGGGAAAAAAATCAATGTAATATAATTTTTGTTAATAAAAGTAGCCTAGCATCACTTTGAAAGATGTTTCAAACATCTTATAGTTTCTGTTGATTATTATGATTTTTATCTTTGTTATTTTTTGTTGTTGCCACTTTTGTAAACCAGGTGTGAAGAACAGCTCTGTAGAACCAGGTTGTTAGTGTATATAAAGCTGGTTTTTCTTTTCATCTTCCACTAGCAAGGGACAGTGCCTAACTCCTCTTCTTATTTTTCTTGGTAGTTACTTGCTGTGTGTTAGAATATCTTTATGACTTTTTACTTCAGTTTGAATAGTAATTCATTCAATATCAAGATGTTAAAACCCCTGTTTGTTCATCAGAACCCTAGACTTCTAATTAGGACCTGATGCCAATATTTAGCTGACCTGCATAGCTTATTCGGTCAGTAGCTCCATAGTATAAGCAAGAGTCCAATGTTCTGATATACAAACATGCATCTGTGAGTATGTTCCTAAAAGTCTAAGATAGTCACAGGGAAAATGCTTTGGTTTCATAGATTAGTATAAATTCATGAAGAATTTTGTATTTAATGTTCAGTATTGGATGTGGATACACATTTTTAATTTTTTTATTTATTTATATTTTATTTTTAAAAATTTTAGTCATGTTTCGAATGCTGCTATGGAATAGACGTAATAATAAAGTAGGATTTACTCTAGTCTAAGGGAAGGATGCTGGAGGCATTGGTTGTTCCAATAGGGGAGAGTTCAGAAATATTGTCATTAATATGATTTGTTTAAAGCTTATTTCTTCTTTTTTCCCTTTCTTTTTCATTTTTTTGGGATTAGTGTCTTTAGTAATATTTGAGGTGCTGTTTTGATGAAAAAAACAACAACTTTGCTTACGCTTCTTGGAATTTTGGCATATTACTGATATGATTGTGCTTTCCATATATTTGGTGATCGAGTCTGTTTAGCATAGTTATAGATGAGTGTTGAATGTGACTTTTATTGTTTGAATGTTTTCTATATTTTAATTGTTTTTGTCATCAGGCAGTTTTTGTAGTATGTGACTGTTTTCCTCCTTTTATTGTTTAATTTTTATTTATTTTTTTTTTCCAAAAGATTTGCATATATATGTGAAAATTGAATTCATATGAAATCAAAAGCAAACAATTTGGCAAGGATAATAAAGCAGAGGTAATGAGGGTTATACTTAGATATGTGCTGATTAACCTGCAACAGTTAAGGATGGAAGATTGAGGAAAAGTTGTTTGGCAAAGGGCCTCAGAGGGTGTGCTATATGAGGTAATCTGTCACAGTTGTACTTTTTTTGCGTGTGTCTTGTGTGTGTGTGAGTGTGTGTGTTTAAGTTTCATGTTTCAAGTTTTTGTGCATGTGTTTTATATGGGAGTTTGTGTACTTTAAGTTTGCATGTATAGGAGTGCACATGTATGGAAGTGGCAACATTTGTGCATGAAAGATTGAAGTGTGTATGTTTTGCATTTGCATAAGTGTGAGAATGTTAGTGCATGTGTATATGTTCGAGTGTAGTCAGAATGTGTATGCAAACAAAAGAGAGGGGGCATAGGTTTGTGCATTAGTTTCGTAGCCTAAGTTTGTGAGTGCTCATGTGCTTTTGTACTGTATGTGTGGTATAATATTGTAACATCCGAATATGCAATACTGAACTCTCCTCAAGCTTTGCATGCTTGTTTTGAATCCAATAAGATCTTTTGGAATAGTATTATAATTTTTTTTTCTTTGTTTCTTTCTTTTAAATGAATAATTTTCAAAGATCATTGATATTGTTTCCCTCTCATCTCTTTTTAGCATTTTAAATTAACACAGATGCTTAGGTATTGAACCAGCTGGTCTTGATATTACGTATTCTTCAAAGATTTGGATTGCACATTCAGACAAAAAAGAATCTTTTTGTAGTGTAGAGGGGTTAGTTTGATAATGATTTTATTGTTATTACACTTGCTATTTATGGAAGAGACCAGGATGTATGGGTAATAATGATGATAATGAAAAGTTAAATATATATTATGGTTTAGGAAATGGTACATTATGGCATGTAAAATACACACAGTTAATCTTGTTTTATATAGTTTTTTCTCCAATGCATTTTAAATGGTTAAGGAGGAGTACATCCCTGCAAGTAAAATTTGAGTCTTTACTCCATTAACTTTGTATAATTGTTTGAATGAATGGACTGTTCACTGTTCCTAAATTCAGTTTTAGCATATATACATTTGCTGTACATGTCATGGAAGGGCCTTTACATTTCATTTTGAGTTAACCGGGAAGGAACATGTTTTGTACTTTCATGGATTATACTCGTTTCGTTTTTGTCGTCACTGGACCATTCTTTACATTTTCTGTAATGTACAAGAAAGTATTGTGTTCTCTTTTCATAGTGCAGTAATTATGCATGAAGTATTAGGTGGAAGTGAACAATATGACAACTGATCCTTCCTATGGTGTGATACTTCTGTAGCGAGCAGCTGGTTTACAATACGTTACATAGCTTGCATAATACAGTTTTTGTGAGCTCTATTTTACTATGTGAAATCAGTATTGTACTTAAAATTCAGCTTTGTAATATATAGGACCCTTAAACAATGGGTTTGAGTATTTTTCTTGCTCATTTTCCTGGAAGAAACAGTGTATAAAGAACATTTTGTTGATAATGGCTTTTTGAAGTGTAAGGAGGTAATGGGCTTCATGAAAGCATAACTGCTGCTGTTTTCTCAAGGAAGGCAAAAACATAATATTAGTGTACCCATTTGCAAACACTTTAAGGAATGTGATGTTAAAAGCATTCATTACACATTACAAACACACTTTACATTAATATTCTGCTCCAAGATATTCCCAATATGAGGAGTTTTAAGATTAAGCAATAGTGCTTTCAAAAGACTTGTGTTAGAAGCATTCGCTGAATGTCCTAGATGTTTTAGCTTTTCACCATGAGAAGCAAAAAGTTCAGAAGCAAAAGCAATAGGTGTAACACTAAATTCTAAGTGCCCAAGATCATAATACATTTAAATCAAAGACCTGCTTTTCAAATACAAGTAGATTCATCCACATTTTTTGTGCTGGTGCCATCCACTGTCTCTGTGATGGCTGAACTTTTGAATTGACTGGATGTAAGGGTTGGTTCTCTGATATATATGTATAATATTTGTGGTATTTTTTCCGTGTGTCTTAGTGTGTACTTTAAAGCAAAAAACAAAACAAAACAAAAAAAATATGAAGACCATCTTTGAAGTTTTGATTATATCAGAAAGTTATATTGGGGAAATGTGTTGGAAGTGACTGATCAGCTTATGTTGGTGGCATGTCTTGCTCAAGGCATTTGTAAATTATACATTTTACTATTATACATTATGAATATATATGTAATGTATATATATATTTGTGCGCGTGTGTGTGCGTGTGCACGTGTGTTTGTGTATGTGTGTGAGTGTGCGTGTATGCGCGCATGTGTGCATGTGTGCGTGTATGTGTGCATGTGTGTGTGTGTGTGTATGTGCGCATGTGTGTGTGCGTGCGTGTATGTGTGCATGTGTGCATGTGTGTGTGTGTATGCGCGCGTGTGTGTGTGCATGTGTGTGTGTATGCGTGCGTGTGTGTGTGTGTATGCGTGCGTGTGTGTGTGTGTGCGTGTATGCACTCGTGTGTGCATGTGCGTGTGCGTGTGCATGGATGCGCGCGTGTGTGTGTGCGTGTGTGTGAATGTGTACGTGTGCATGTGTGTGCATG